TAAGGTCCAGAAAAGGGTCTCTGTATCAATTAGGATTTGTTCAGCTGCATCTAACAATGAAAGCAACAACTACCACTCCCAAATAACTGTGGCTTTAGAAAGATACAGGTTTGTTTTGCTTTCATGTAGAAAAGTCTGGAGATAGTCCCTGCAGGACTGGTTTGGTGACTCCACAATTAGCAGGGATCTGTGCCCCTTTTATCTTTCTGCCCCACTACTTATGGCGGCTTCCATAGTCAAGGTTGCCTCAAGATCCAAGATAACTGATGGAGCTCCAACCATCACACCCACAGTTCAGGGGCGATGAAGGAGGAAGAAAAGGTGCAAAGGGTCTGTCAGCTGAAACAACTCCCTTTAGTGAGATTTCCCGTAAGCCCTACCCACGGAGCTATGCTCACAAAGTTTCTGCTACCCCCAATAGCAAGACATGGACAGACGTGCTGCTTGAGCTCAGCACATTGCTGCCCTCCTACAGTTGGTCTTCTGCTACCAAGAAGGAAGGAGAAAATGGATATTGGGTATGCAGCTAGCAGTTTCTACCCTGCCTGTTTCTTTACAACCCTAACTTCCAAATCTAAGTCCTATGCCTGACTTAGAAAGAGCTCAGTTAAATGTCTGCATTGTTTTCTGCGCTGTGGGTGTGGGGATTCTCACCACAAGAAGTGGCAAGATGAGAAAAGAACATCAAAAAGATCGGGTGTAGCATGAACGAGAACTGCCTTTACATTCTCTTACCATCATCAAACGCAGTGCTTCAAGTAAACAGAAGAAGAGACTCCAACCTGCATCCATGATGTTGTGTAAATATTTGGGGGGTTGTGGTTGAACCCCCGGGGCATGGATGAACCTCAAAAAAATCATCAAGGAATATTCTGACTGGGGGCAGGCTCACCCACCTTAAGTCAATCATTAGGCAGCCCCTCCAGGAAAGCACAGAGCAGAGGGGCAGGAGGTGGGGGGAAGCGCTTGGAATTTAGATCTGCTACAAAGGAGCTTGGACATCTTGGAAGCCCCTAGAGCTGTTTTCTTGTCTGCGCAGTGGGACCTTTGGGAGAATGAGCGAGGAAATAGATGTATTACTTTGTAATCTATAATAGCATTCAGCGAGCTTTAATTGTTTGTTATTCAGATAGTAAGTGATCATTCATTTGGATACTATGATATAGAAGACAATACTAGACACTTAAAAAATGTTCCTCTCCCTCCATCCACAGTAGAGAGCCATCAGCCACCAGCCCGCACGCCCAGACTCCCACAATCCTACAAGATGGACATCATCTTCACCTTATAAATCAGAGAGATTCAGAGTTGTTGAGTAACCCGGTCAAGGTCACACAGCTATTGTCTATGCTCAGGCTTCATGCCACCATCTCAGCCTCCAAAGCCCATTTTCTTTCTCCTGCTAAGATTCAGAGAAAAATAGAGTGCTCTTTTCTCAAATGGCCCTTTCTGAATGAGGGAGAGCAGAGACATGTGTTATCTCTTGATTTGGGAGGAGCTCGTGCTCCCTTAAAGGAAAGCTGAACTTTAGGGGCTGGTCTGGAAACTCCTGGGGGCAGAGGTGGGGGAGGACCTGGGTGTCCTTCCCTTACCAGCTCTGAATGTGCCTCATCTACTGTGCTCGAGAGGATTTTAATGAGTCAGGGAAGGATGGAGCGTGGTCCTTCCTTTCTCCTGAGACACTTGTCACTTGAGAGGCTGAATAACAAATGGGAAAATCTTGTTCCAGAGAGAAAAGTGTTTGTGGAGACTCCTTCTTTCATGCACAGTAATCATCCTGGCTTTCAAAGCTCTGCTAAATGGGCTTCCAAATTGGGCCGAATCACAATGCCTGTGTGATACTCAAGTGGTAGGCAAAATAAGGCCTCCCGCTCCCAAAACAATGTCCACGTCCTCATCCCCAGGATCTGTGCATGTTACTTTACAAGGTGAAAGTGTCTGTGTGGATGTGGTTAAGGACCTTGCGATGGGGAAATCTTCCTGGATTACCTGGGTGAGGCCAATGTAATCTCATGCATCCTTAAAGGCAAGAACTTGTCCAGTTATATTGGGGGGGGGCGTGACTATGGAAGAAAGGCACAGAGAGAAATAACATTGCTGCTTTGAAGGTGGAGGAAGGAGCCACGAGCCAAGGAATGCATGCAGCCGCTAGAAGCTGGAGGAGGCAAGGAGACAGATGTTCCCCTAGAGCCTCCAGGAGGGAAGGCAGCTCTGCCAACACCTTGATATTTGTTCAGTGAGCTCCGTGGTGGGCTTCTGGCCTCTATGATCAATTCAATCCTCAGAGTTTGTTGTAATCGGTTATAGCGTCAATGGGACACATACACTCAGCAGTATCACTGGCTGAAAAGTGTTAGTCCATGTGCCAGAACATTTCTAAAGCCTAAGCCTGATCCTCTTCCCTCATCACTTCTCTTATCCAATTAGCCTCCACGTCCTGTTGATTCTGCCCATAGAAATGCTTGTGCCATGAGCTGCTAACCTTTGAAAACCGGCTTCATGCCAGGCACATGTGAAACATTTTACATGCCTTTCCTGTAATCTTCACCATTCTCGTCAAATAGTAGTAATTCCTTTGTATCAGGTGAGAAAATTGGGACTCAGAGGTTAAGCGAACTGCCCAGAGAGAAATGATGCGGCTAGGATTCAGACTTCCCTGTCCTCTCTGGCAGGTGCCTGGGCAGTGGGGAGGGAACCTCACCCACACACTGGAACCTGGCTCTTCCTCTCCAGCCCCATGACCTTGGCTCTGGCATGGGTTCTTATCTCCCTCCAGGGTTTTAGCCACTGTTTCCTAAGACATCCCCCTGCCCCTGGATCTCATCCTTATCAATCCATCATGCGCTATATATAGACAGAATAACTTCTCTAATACACAGAACTGTTCTTTTCAGTTCTCTGCTCAAACCCTCCCAGGGGACCCCATTTTGTGCTGCATAAAGTTCAACTTTCTGGCATGGCATTCAAAGACCCTCACAATCTGGCTCTGAGGTCAGTCCATCCCTTCAAACTCTCTACAGAACAGATCCACTAACACGTTAATTTTGCACCAGAATATGCCATGGACTTTTCATCACCACATATACAAATGCCATTATATGACAAACAAGGAAAATATAGCTCAGAGATGGAAAGTTATCTGCCTTAGGTCACACAACTTGCATGATGCAGAGTCAATACTAGACTCCAAATTCCCCAGTAGACCACCTGCAGCTTTAAAGAGATAATCTCTGATCCCTCCACTTCCCTCCTCTGCCATCATTACTGAGTGAAAACAACCATTCTGTCTTGTGAGGAGGACTATAGTACCTCCAATCTACTCTCCACGTGGAATAAAAAGCTAATCGTGCCTCTCCACTGCTTAAAAATCCGTTGTCATCCATTGCTTTTAAAACAAAGACCCAGACTCTTAAGGATGTGACCCTTACATGACTTTCCCGCTCCACCTCAGCACCCTCTGTCTCTCACTATAATACCCATCCTCTTTCAGACCCCTTCATGTGCCTCACTCCCTGCCACCTCAGGGCCTTTGCACATGCTATCTTCGCTGTCTGGAGTGCTCTTCTTCCTATCTTCATTATTCTTCTTCCCCCTCCAGCCATTCCTTCCCCAGGAGGTCCTCCTGACTGCCAGCCTGAGTGGGGGCCCTCCATGAGATGCTCTTTCCATTCCCAATACTTTGTCCCTGTTCAGTCCCTCAGTCGGTAATTATCCATGTGTGTGATTATTTCATCAGTGTCTTCTCTCCACCAAACTCTATGCTCCACTAGAGCAGAGACTTACTTTATATGATGGTGTACTTTTGTGTACCCACTGTTGAATCACAGCACCAGGAACAAGGATGGAGCTCAATAATTATCTTTTAAATGAATAAATACCAACTAGCCCCAGCTGTGAAGTCAATCCTGTAATTTCCACTTATGTGTGTCTTAAGGGAAAGAGCAAGGAAGGTACCAAATGTTTCAACTACTGGAAACACAGAATTGGATAGCCTCCTGTGGGTTGTTTGGTGGTGGTGGTGTCGCTGGTATTGATTTTGTTTTGCTTAGTTTGGAGGAAAGGATTCAAATACTGTGGAAAATAAATAAATAGAACTGCTGTGAAACAGATTTAAGCTGAAAGAAAACTCTAATCTGTCAAATGAATAAATTTAGTCTTTTTTAAGACCATAAGTAGGGACTCGTGGCAACTTCTTGGGAAATGGGTTGTTTGCTTTTTAATTTTTAAAATTTTTAATCTGTAATGTCTTTAGGGCCAGGGCTGCAAAATTAAGCCTAGAACATTATTTTATTTATTTCTTTACATGCAGGACAGGCCATAAGTGATAACCTATATATAGAACAGCAGACATAGCTGATTCCAAAATTATCCTTGCTTGCCACTTCTTCTCACACATTTCTTATGATGCCATCTGATCTGAAAGTGTTTCAAATACTTCTGCTAAAGGCTTTTCAGTGTTTGGACATCTTTTGGCATCAAAGCCAAGTTGATGAATTCTATTTAACTTTGAAGGATTTTCAATTTTTAGCTTTTTTTTTTTTTTTGGTGAATTTGAACAATGTGCATTATTTTGTCAAAAGTTAACATCATTTTACTGTCCAAAATCTAGCAGAAAGTATACCTTATTTCTAATTCTAACCTAAAATAATGGTGTTCTTTTCCTTTTGAATGACACCACTGACGTATGTTGTCCTTTCTCTTAAACCTCATCCATGAAACCCATCCCTTGCTCAGTGCTCTTCTTGGATGCCCCATAATTTGAAGATAAAGCAGACCTTGAGGAGCTACCAGAATGTAAAATCAATGGAGAAGGGGCTACATTTGTCTTGTCTCTCCTGCATCCCTCTGCCCAGCACATAAGAGACACTCAATAAATATTTTTAAATGAACACACTTAAATCTATATTTATTTACTGAATTTTTACATTAAAAATAATACATATTTATTTTAGAAGTTCTAGGAAATACAGAAAAACAAGAAGAAAAAAAAAGATACCACTACCTAAAGATAATCACTATTCACCTTTTGGCATATTCCCCCAGGCTTTATCTCTATGCATGTATACATGTTTTCTTTTTATATCATGCTGTACATACAGTTTTCTAACTTGTATGTTTGGGTTTTTTTTTCACTTACAATGTATTCAATGTATGCATTCCATGTCCTCAAGTATTTTTCACTCCACGATTTCTGGTGCCCGTGTGATTCCACAGCAAGGAAAAGCACAGTTTATGTAACTAATCCCACCAGGAAACATCACCAATGCCATAAATGCTCTATTTTTCATCACTTCAGGAAAATAGGGCATTATAGTTACTAGGCAGTGCGCACCTAGGGCCAGAATTCAATGAACAACACTAAGTCTAAAATCACACAGCCCATGCTTCAATCTTATTTTGATCAACCAGGAATATTCTAGAATGACTTTCCATGTGGAAGTAAATATCCTTCATTTTAGAAGAGTTACATATGTGCAAGAAGATATAAAGAAAACAGTAGCCCAGGTGCTTCTGGTGTTGAGAGGGGATCCCCAATCCAGCCTCCTCAATACTGCCAAATGGCCCCTCATGCTTGGAAGAAGAAATGGTTGCCATATTTATTTGTGTATGAGGCCAAACACTCTAATTCCTTTGTTTCCTTATTTTAACTGAGAACACCAGCTGCTCATTTCCACTCCCTGCTTTAGGTGGGGTGGCAGATCTAGACAGTGTAGAAAAACAAAGGTTTTCTTTAAAAAAAAAACAAAAACAAAAACTTGACCCCACCTGACAAGTACATAGGATATTATTTCTGGGACTACTTTTGAAAATAATGCATGCTTGAGAGTCATGATAGTACCTACTACTTATGGTGGTAAGACTAAGTGCTGAATAGTGCCAAGCATGGTCATTCATAGCATGGTCTATGGGAACACCATATTTGGTGGGGCTTATATATCTGGCTAAAGAGAATTCCTACTGGTATTATGGAGGTACACCCCCCCCAATACACATACACAAAATAATATTTCATATTTATAAAATTCCCACTTAGAAATTGCCATAGAGCATCAATCCCAGTGGATTGCCCCAGAACTCATTACTTCTATTGAACATGTTCTATAAGTGTTGACTTTGATGGAAAACCAGCAACATCTCATCTCTAGATGGGAATTTCAACAACAAAGTATTTTAGGTGATAAAAAGTTTTCTCCAAGACAGTTTCACAGCCTGAATAAGTGAATGTGTTCTATAAACTGTAAGGATTAAACAAGGTTAAGATATATGGGACAGGTTGAATGTCTAGTAATTTGCTAAAAATGCTTTCAGTTTATTTGCTGTAAAATTTTTATTTAAAAGAAAGCACTTCCAATAAATCTCAGACCCAGAATTAGACTTCTAAGAATAAAACCAATTACATAAAGAAAACATTCACCTAAATCAATCTGAGGTCACCATTGATTACTCTGAGGCAAAGGAGTCATCATTTCATGCTGTCCATGGGCGAAAACATGGCTTAAAGCTTGTGAGTTTGAAAGGTGGTGGCAGGGGTTGGAGCAGGGAGGGGAGGCTCCTTTCCTATTTCCTCCAAGAAGAGCTGATCTGTCCTTAGACAAAGGGACTGGTTCTTGGGCCCTTTGTGTTCATCCTCTTAGCACCCAACACAGTGCCTACACAGAGCATATGCTCTTCCATATTAGAGATGAGGAAGAAGAGAGGATTAGTGGAACAGGAGGGGCCCGGTCCTCCATGCTTCTCTAGGAGCCCCTGACGATCTTTTGGCTAATGGCTCCAGGCAAGGTATAGATGAAGAGGACCAGGAAGATGATGAGGATGATCAGAATGAAACCGATGATGATGTATTTTTTGTAATTCTTCCAGATGAAGTGGTATAGGCATTTGAAGGGGCTCACAAACCAGGAGAAGGAGGTGTCTGGGCGGCTGCAAGGGAAGCAAGAGAAAAATCAGGAAAGGGGCCATGATGTCAACACATGGGATTCTCCAGACCTCAGGAAGTATTTCTGACTCCCGCTTTCTAGAGGGTCCACAAGGAGATGCCTGGGAATGGGAGAAATCCATGTTGCCTTGAAGCAGGAGCAATCCAACATTCTGAGTGATGATTCCTGCATCATTTTAAAGCTCGGTCTGGAGAAAGTCTGACTGCATCCGTCCAACCCTGATCAGCTCCCCAAACCCCACCTCTTCCATGAGGTCCTCCTTGACCACCATGGTCCATAAAGATCCCCCTCCTTCCAAATTCCTATCTCATCTATCACTTGACTTTAGCTCCTTTTTGGACCTAACATATTGGTCTTCTATACTCTGTTAACTCTTTTATGAGTCTGTGTTCTCCCTAAACAGATTGGAAGCTCTTAGAAGATAGAACCTATGTCTTAGATTTCTTCGATGTTCTTCAAAGTGTTGGTTTTTTTTTTTTTTTAAAGTAGGTACACATTGCAGGAGCTCAGCAAATAATTTTTAATTAATGAATAAGTAAGTATCCATTATGTTTCTAACACTATGATAGATGAAAAGTAAGTACAGAGAAGGGACCACTCATCTTGAGACACTGGAGATCTCAGGAAGAATAGGAGAAATATGATTTGAAAGAGTAATTTTTATACATATTTCATATCCACATATGTTTACTTTTTAATTGATATGTAACCATGGATTAAATTGAACAGGGCAACGCTTCTAGTAATTCTACTTCCGGGAATTTATTTTAAAGTAATAATTTATAAAAGGGAAATATTTTCATCATATTACAATAATGGAAAAAGGGAGAAGTAAATTAAATATCCAATTATGGGGTGATGACCAAGTCAATTATGGGCACCAAATGTATGGAATATTCCACAGGCATTAAAAAATTCTAATTCTGACCACTATGGCAACAAAGCAAAACTTTGCAGCACAGGATAAATGAAACATTAAGACAATTGTGTATGCCTGATTCAAAAACAAGTAGAAAAAAATTCATGTGGCATTCATATTCACATAAAAAGAGTAGAAAAAATATACGGAATTATTCTAGAAATGCTTATGCGTCAGTATTACAGAAAAGTACCCTCTCCATTTTCCAAACAGTCTATCTTGTTTTTAGAATATTTCTCAATTTTAGCAGTAAAAAGCTAGCTGGATTGGACAGCACCTGTTGGCTGCCTCCTTGTGGCTCAGTCCTCCCAGAGGGGCCCTCTAGAGAAATGCCCAGTCCCCTGCTTTGGGGACTACAAAGGGCCTTTCCCATGCTCTTACCCCCAACCCCACTCACTTGGGCTTGGCCAGGGGCTCTGGCTCCTTCCGGGCTTTTCCGACAGGGTTTTTCTCTGCTTCCTCTGCTGTCACTAAGTGGAACTCGGCTTCAACCTTGCCCTGCACAAAGACAAACGTTTCAGTTTCTAGTCACAAAGACCTGCTGGGAGCAATGCCAACCTTCTAGAAGTATCCAGCGTGGGGGAACGCCAGGAAGTATTTTGACTATCCTGCTGCTCTATTTTGAGAAAAAAAATGTTATCTTTTTGGTTCTGGGAGAAGCCATTTGTATGATGAACAGTAAAAGCTCTGAAATGACGTCGCTGTTGAGTTTTGTGAAAGGAGAAGTCCCACCTGTACACACAGACACACATATCCTTGGCTGCCTGTGTTCCTTCACTTATAATCGTTCAATCAATATCTGATTATAGAAACTCAATAGCAGTTGGAAAGGGGACGAATTCCCTGAGTGACAGAACCCTTTTGAATCAGCTACAGTCTTTCTTCTCTGCCAATGGTTCTCCAGAGGAAATTGGTGGGTGGCGCCCTACATTTGCCAAATGGCTTTTCTGTCACCCTTCATTGTTTCTATTGTCTCCACACATGGTTTCACAATTATCCTTCTCTTCTTGCACTTTCTCTTTCCTTCTCCTTCAATAAGAAGCAGCCTTTCTGGTTTGAAAATTGTGTCATGTGGTTCTTCAGAGCTCTGTGCATTATTAGCACTGATGTAAGTCTTGGGTTGTCAAAGGGTGAGACAGGATGGCTGCAGAAGGTAAGGGTCGCTCTTTCTTGTTCGTTCAGTCATTCACTACTTTTAGGGACCCTCTGTATGCCAGGTACTGTTCTAGACACTGGGGACTTAATGATTAAGAAAAATAGGATCCTTGATCTCCTGGAGCTCCAGTTCTCGGTGAAGAAGACCTTCTCTCTGCTTCTTTGGTTTTGTGGATTGAGATTCAAGGTAATAGGAGGGACACAGAACTGGAGGGGGACTAGAGCATCATGGAAATATTTTAGACCCACGATTATCATTTTGGAATTACATGTGGTTGGGGCATAACCTGATTTCCTATCCCAGTAAAAAGATTAAAGTTTCTGATGAACCAGTGAGCCTGTGTTAACTTACCTATTCCCCCCACCCCCACCAAAAGCTAGGACTTCTTAGCAGCCAGGATGGTTGCTGGCAACCATGAAAATTTAATCATGGGAGAAATTAGAGAGGAGTCGTGTATCTAGAGTGGGGTTGAAGCCAGAGACAAGAGGCAGTGGCATGGTTGTCTGAATTGGTAAAGAAATGCAGTGGGCATATTACAAGTGAAGTCATGAGTTCAAATCTAGGGGGTCTCATCCATTCTTTAGACTACAACCCTGGCCCAACTCACAACACATTACATGTCCTACGATCCAGAAATATTCCTTAAAAACATGTATATATATAGTCTCTCCTTCCTATTGACAAATCTTGCCCTATAGGTAATGACTTGCATATACAGGTACTCGGGGAATATTTGAAAACCAGGAAAGAAGGAATACAAAGCTTCTGTCCCGTCTAGTCACTCCACTCCACTCCACCTCTATCAACAGTGGAGTCATAGTACTATTACTCTAACTATAATTGCGATGCTTTATTGAATGCCCACTTTGTCTATGTTCCTTCAATTCATCTGTCAAAAAATCACAGCAACAAGCAAGGTAGGTCTCCTTTTTATCAATGGAAAAATGAAGCAGTGGAGGTCAAATAACTTTCCCAAGGTCACACAGGCAATAAGCCAACCAACTAGAACTTGAACTGAGGGCCGTATGATGCCAAAGCTCATGCTCTTTCCATGAGAGTGGGCTGCCTCCCAACTTATTCATGCATTTGCCAGATAGTTGGACTAGAAGATTTGCAAGGACCTTCCTAACCCTAACATGAGATGATTGGCTTGTCATCATAATTACCACTTGAAGGCATTTGTCTTCTTGCGCCTCAGATTCCATACCTGTCAAATGGCCAGATGTGCTTTAAGGCAACTTCTGGCTCTACTTCTAGGTTTCATGAAAGGCAGGAGACCCTGTAAAGCTTGAGGGCTCGAAGAAACCCAAGAGGCCAGCCTACAACTCAAGGCAGAAGGGTTTCCAATATGCAAAAAGGGCTGATTCCCAGAGGTCTTCCAGAGGTGACCTAAGCTCTACTGAGCAGTATATTTATACGCTAGGAGCCTCCTCTAAATCCTCTGTGTTTGAAAGAGAGTCAGCTTAAGAGTTGCTAACCAATTGCTGGGCTCCCAAATGTTTGGAAGAGAGGACAATAATCAACAGTGGGTAAGTTGGGACCAGAGTAAGGGGATCACAGCTGCCTCTTTGCTGTCCACTGCTTGCTAATAAGCTCAGTCACAGTGCTATAGAATTTGCATGGTGCTTCACACATACGTCATTCCATTTCAACCTTCTGACAACTGGCAAAGTAGACATTCTTATTCCCATTTTACAGCTGAGGAAACCAAGGGCTTGATGATGTTTGCTAACTTGTGTTACAAAACCAGGATTTGCGCCAAGATACTATGACACTAAACCCCATCCCCTGCTATTAACTGTGCCCAAGAGGCCCTTCTTTGTGGAAGAAAAGAAGCAAGGTATATATTTAACAGTGAGGAAATGTGTTTTTGAAATGATCAAGAGAAGCTCCATTATCCTTGCCATGGCCCTTATAACATGGCTTTATGATATGTTTCTGGCTTCCATCTAACGGATGACCTTGGGTAGTTTAAGGATTATTACCATGTAGCATAGCATAGCGTAAGAGTTGAGTGAATAGGATTTGGTGCAGACAGATCTGCATTTGAAACTGGGCTCTACCACTTACTAGCAGTGTGGCTTTGGCTGAGTTACCTGCTTCAGTCTCACTGTCCTGGAGATGTTAATAGCATGTACCCCACAGATTTGCTTTGACAAATAAATGAAATAACATATATACAGTGCTCAACCTAGTGCCTGGTAAACAGTAAACTCTTAAAGAGATTATAGTTGCTACCTTCAACACTATTTCATGGATGGAAACACATAATTCGATAGGAAACATCTGCCCATATAGAAAACACCCAGGGAAGACAATGCAAAGAAATGGGAAGCAGAGCATGAGAAATGAATTCCGCCCTAGACACGGTTATTACCATGTCATTGGTTATTACCATGAAGGGCCTCACCCCCCATTTCACTGTCCTGCTTGAGTCGCCACAAAGCATTTTTCTGATATCACACAGGCCCCAGGAGGAAAGGGTTTATTGACATATTTGGATAAATACCACTCCTCATTCTATATCTCTCCACACAGAGTGTTCCCAGTTTTATTTTAATCATCAGTATTCAACCAAGTACCAAGTTGAGGTCTTACACTAATAATATCCTCCAAATGTAATTTTAAATCAGAGATAGGAGAGAAAAATGGACAGTTTGAGAGACTATCTATTAACCTAATGACATCTATGGATGGAAGAAAATGACCAGGAAAGGTCCTGAAAAGACTGGATTTGTTGCACTGAGTGTGTTATTTATGGGCTTCGAACTTCACTGAGCCCAGAGAGTGGATGCCCTGGGGAGGGATGCGGGTGCTTTAGGTCAGATATGCCTTCTTCAGTGATAATTATTGCTTATTAAAACAACTCTCGCTGGTATAAGGCATTCTCACACATTAATGGTGGGGATGTGTCCTGGCAAAGTCTCTTAGGAAGAGGGACACACACGTATACATACACACATATATGCATGCATACATATAATGTCCATGTAAGTGTGTCTATTACCTTATACGGTCATACTCTGGACTGAGACATGCCATTTCTGGGCAGATAAATTAAGGAAATAATTCAAAACTCAGAAAAAGCTTAATATGCAAAGCACAGTCATTATTCTGTCAGATTTTCAAATTGTCCTATTTGTCACAATGATATGTCCCAGGCCCATCTTGTGTTCTATCTGTCCTAGACCTGGAGTCAGCCAAATATGCCTGCCTGGTTCTTTCAGTAGAGATCGGTACTTAGAAACCAGGATCCAGATGCTAGGAGTCTTCTTGCTACTTGGTGATTTTACTTCTAGGTCCTTTCAGTGAACAGAGCTAGAAAAAATATTTTTAAATCCAGAAGTCCATAGTGATACTGGGAATAATGCAAGAGAAAAAAAATCTCATTTACCACCCTTGGAGGTACCTCTTGTACCAATTCTTGATTCTACAGTGTGGTAATTGATAGAATTAAACATTTAGCCTGTCTTTTTTTTTTTTTTTTTGAGGAGGTGGTAACTATAATTGATTTCCACTTGTTGAGAGAAATCTCTTCCTTACTAATAAATGAAAAAAGAATGATAGATACACAGATAGATGATAGGGATATATAGATGGATGGATGGATGGGTGGATAGATAGCTAGATAGCTAGATAATAGAAAGATAGATGGATAGAGATGGATGGATGGAAGGAAAGAAGGAATGGGTAAAGAAGGAAGAAAGGATTAGAGAAATCATTTTGCAACACCAATGAAATACCTAATTACAATCATCATTATGTGAAAGGTGGTGGCAGGACAGGGATTTCCCACAGTGCCAAAGTCTCACCCACTGGTTACTTGCTAATTGCAAAGAGGAAAATGTACTTTTACAATGAAGAGATCTCGTGGTCACCAGCACGATCACGTGAGTAAACACAGCATCACCATTATGAGGCCATCTGAGGGCATGTGCCTCCTGGCATAATTCAGTATGAAATAAACAGTACCAGGTCTTAAGTATTCTTAACAAAAATGTTTAACCTGATCCTGATAATGCTGTTACACCTAACTTCTAGTTCACAAGAAATACAGGGTCTAGAGAATAAGATAAGTTACATCCTGAGAAAACAACTGGACAAGTGAGGCCAGTTTCATCAAATAGGTATTGTCATGGGGGAAAAAATGGTGGGGAACCATTCTAAAACAAAATAGGCCAAAGAGACAAAATAACCAAAAGCAACACATGAACTATGACTAAATCGTGTTTTGAAAAAAGAAACAGCTATAAAATACATTTTGAGAGTAATAGGGTATCCTTCTTGTAGATGGAGAAATGAATATGGTGTGGATATCAGATTAGGTGATCATTATCAACTTCTTATATGTGATGATGGCATTGTGGTTATGTACAAGAATGTCCATATTCTTAGGAGATGCATGCTGAAGTATTCAGGAATTGTTAAAAAGAAAACCACAGGCCCATGATGGAGTTACTTAGATTAAGGCCCCATGTGAACAATCCAAGACTTAATACCTACTCTAATTGCAGTCTCCCCCTGCCACACCCAGGAATTTAAACTTTAGTCAGCCAATATGGAATTTCAACCTGGAAATTTACTGATAGACACCCTTTCATTCCTCTAAGGAGGGCACCTGTCCCAAATAATGCATTTTTTGCTAATAAATTCCTTTCTTTATGCCCTCTCTTTGCCTTTAAAAACCTTCCTTTTGTTTAACTTGGGGGAGTTCCCCTTTACTTGGTAGATGGGATGCTGCCCTATTCATGAATTATTTAATAAAGCCAACTGGATCTTCAAATTTACTTTTTTTTTTTTAATAGGGAATAGTGTTGGGATGTCTACAATTTACTCTTAAATGGTCAGCTAATAAGTATGTGTGCAGGGGGTGGGGGAGGTGAGAGACTATATACTCACGTATGTAGACAAAATCAGTACAGCAAAATAGTAACAGGTGTTGAATCTAGGTGGTGGATAAATGGTTGATCATTGTCCTATTCTTTCAACTTCTCCACATTTTAACTTTTTTAAATGAATAAATGTTGAGGAAAAACACAATGATTAAACTGGCATTTCTATTTTGAGAATACAAAGAGTTGATAATAACATTGATAACATAACATAGGGGAATGCTCGTTAGAACACCAAGCCAAACAAAAAAAGGCACTATTTTTAATATGGCATGATCACTACCATGTAAAATTAACCAAAATCTACATAAATTGGGCTCAACCAAAACATTAGCAATAGCTTTCTTTGGGTGGTGCACATGTGGGTGCTATTTCTTTCCTTTTATACTCTCGTGTCTTTTAAATTTCCTATAAAAGTATATTACCTACTCTGTCTTAAGATAATCTTCACATGAAAATACCCACTCTGCTCCTAGAGATTCTGAGTTTGCCACATACTATTTAGATGATCTGTGTGTCTACCACCTCCTCAGCTAAGCTGTGAGCTTCTCGATGCCAGGAATTTGTCTCCTTCACTGTTGAACTTTTACCGCCCGGTCTATGAGTGTGTACCCACAGTAGCTACTGACGAGGGTTTTTCACCCAAAACCAGAAGCACAGAAACATCCCTTTTAATTTTAGTTGTTGATGTTCTTGAGACTTAGCTGGGCTCTTTAATTGTCAATTAATGGGATTCACCTGTACGAGAAACTTCTTGATCTTCATCTTCTAGAGTAGTGATTTCTTTAAAGGTTGCTTTTAGTAGGATAACACATATAAAATGCATACTGCAATGTGTCTCATAAAGCAGCTGTTCAATACGTATTCCTTTTGTCCCAAGGGTACCTGTTCTTTGCTAATCCCACCTGGAGCTGTTTTTCACTGACCGTAAGCATGGCCACATTCCACACCAGGAGCTTTGGGATGCAGCTGTCTAAACTGCACTGCCTGGGTGCACAGATAAGCAGCTTTAAAAATAAGCCTGGGCACGGGGCAGTGGCAGTAAGCAAATCCCTGCTGGCTGCCTGGTGCCTGGAACAGGACTGTGACCCCCTGAGTGCTGGCTTCGGGGGTGGGGGGTGGGGGAGCTCGGTAGCAGCGGGTGTCCGTACCGGAAAGGCACCTTGGGGGCACCCGGTCCAACCCACTCTTTTTACAGACGTGGAAACTGAGCCTTGGAGATGGCAGGACCTCAGGAGGTGGCAGACCCTGACTGAGGTTTTCCATGACGCCACTTGACTCCCAGCTCATCCAACTCACTGCCACCCTGAGAGAAGGCTGCCGGTCTGGCTTCCTCGTTGTGGTTACGGGTTCGTTGGAGGGAAAGAGGATGGACGTGAGGCATCCTGCTGCTGCAGGCCAAACCAGGGAGTGGGGGGCTGCCGGGTGGGTGGGGATGAAGTCAAGTCTCATTTTCCCTCTAGGATGTGTAAGGACAAAACCAAATTGAAAACAAGGAGCTTAAATTTTCCTGTGGAAAATAAAGGAAGAGATTTCCCTCTCCTTTTTCTAAGAGCCTTCACTTTAGAAAATGTAATTGGAAGCCCTTTCGTTTCTCTTTGAAATGCGTATAAATCCTTTGGGATACTAGATAGGCCCTTTGTCCTTAATACCCAGGACCCACCTTTCCCAAAGACCAGGGAGCCATCTCTTTGCAATGGAAACATCCATCACCCCTCTCTCCCAGTTTCTGTGGCTGCCTGGTTCCAAGTTGCCTATTTGAGGCGGATTCCCTAATTTGTGTGCCACGCCCCCGCATTCTCCCTTAACCAGTCACATAGGATGCCCCCCTTCTAGTTACTCTGCCTGCCAACAATCTCCAATCAGAACGAACCTGAAATCTTCCCTTTTTTTCATTATAAAGCTTCCCTACTCCCCTGCCTTTGAATCTCTACCAAACCAGAGTGACTGTGGCTGACTCTCTTGTCATAGCCCGCTCTGAATAAACAGCCCGTTCACATTTGAGTAGTCTTCATTCTTTTCCTGGTTCTAAACACTTCATGTATATTAACTCATTTATCTGTTAAAACCCCATGAATTATGTATGTATTATCAATCCCCATTTTATAGATAATGGAAGTTGAGGCACAGAGAGGTTAAGTAACTTGCCTCATGTCACACAGCTAGTCAGGAGAGGACAGGATTCAAACCCAAGCTGTCTGCTTCTACATTCTTTAGTCTTAACCATTTTGTAATGCTTAATGCAATCTAGGAGAACATACTGTCTCAGCCTAAACACCCCTTCACCCCTTCTCCACATGTCCCCAAACAACCCGTCTTCTGGATCCTGGGGACCTCCCACCATTAAAATCTACCTGTCTTCTCTCTCATTTCTTTGGCACGTTTTTCTCTGGTTTCTACTGTGACACTTAGCCTTAAAAAGAAATGTGTGCTGATGTGTTTGTTCTCAAAGACTATTTGTTGAACCCTTCCTGAGTGTTCAGTACACTGAATAAGAAGAGAAGGAAATCATAAAATATATTTGATGGTAGGGTCAATGTCTTAATTGTTGACTCATGCAATGAAAATTTACTGGGCACATACCATGTGCCAGACACCACATGAGACACTACAAATTCCAAAAAGGGACAGAAAGAGAAAGCACACTGTCTGGACTCAAGCCACTCACAGCAGAACCATGCCGTATACAGACAATTACAAATCAGTGTCACAAGAACAATGGAAACATAAAGGCAAGCAAGCCTATCCCTGCCTAGGGCATCAGGGAGGCTTCCCAGAGGAGGTGACTGCCGAAAAGAGTCTCAGAATCCTTAAGGAGGAGGAGATTTCGCAGAGAAGAAGGGAATCAAGGCGTTCCAGGCAGAAGTACCAGTCCCTAGAAAAGGAGGGGTGTGGGAAGGAACAGGGAGTGGCTGGGGACTAGCATATGAGGACAGCTGGTGCGGTTTGGGGGGAGGAGGGAAAGATGGAATTGTGAAGGCTTTCAGAGTTTACACATGTTGTCTCTGCTAACTTACTCCCCACTTGCTCCACAGTGCATGCTAGTCTATGTCTGTCTTCACCGTTCCCCCGGACAATGCTTTTTAAATATTGAGATATAATTCCCATACCATGAAGTGCATCCTTTGAAAGTGCACAATAAAGTAGAATTTGGTATATTCACGAAGTTGTACAGTCAGCAGCACTAATTCTGGAACATTTTTATCACTCCAAAAAACAAGTCCTGTACTGGTTAGCAGTCACTCCCCATTCCCCGTCCCTCCAGCCCTGGCAACCACCAATCTACATTCTATGGAGTTGCCTATTCTAGACATTTCCTATCAATGGAATCAAAAGTATGTGGTCTTTTGAGACTGGCTTCTTTCACTTGAATGTTGTCAAGGTCCATCCATGTTGAGGCCTGTATCAGCACTTTATTCCTTCTTATGGCTGAATTATATTCCGTTGTATGGATATAACATCTTTTGTTTATCCATTTATCAGTTGATGGACATGTGGATGTTTCCACTTCAGGGCTATTATGAACAGTGCTGCTATGAGCCTTTACAACACTACTTTTCTTTCTTTTCTCTTTTTTAAGATTTTATTTATTTATTTGACAGAGAGA